GGTACATAATAATGGATTTTAACCCTGAAAATGTATAACAACATCATCGTATTTATAAATATCCAATTAAAAAAAAAAAAATCAGAATGATATTTATGAAAAATAACTGTTTTTCAAAGTTCGTATTTAAACTTATTATTAATTTTTTTTTTTGAGAGAGAGCATATTGTATAAACGCTCTTCCCACTCAAAATAAAAACAAAATCTACTATGTACTACTTACTTTCTTAAGAATTAATTACTTAATTGATTTTTTTTCGCAGTAGGTAGTTAATATCAGAAAAATAGGAATATTACTTTCTTATTTAATCATTTATTAGATTTACTCCTACATTTTAGTCGTAGTAGAAATGGAGTTTGAAGTAATATTATACATTATAACTGATATATAGATTAATTGTGAAAACATAAATATGGTTTAACCAAAACAGTCAAACCTTTATCATGCTATATGGAATCTGAAAATGTTTATAATTAAACTGTAGTCACGCATGTCGACATGGGTGTTGAAGCGGTATTGTTGCTGTGACGAAGTATAATATTCTTGTATTAAAATTCGTTAACGTTAACATCACGAGATACCGTTCAGTTACCACAATGAAGCTATACACTGATGTACCAAAATTGCCTATACATCACGCCGTTCAACAAATATGATATAATAATTTAATATTTTGGAATAGAAAATAATGATAAATATTTATTTTTTCCAAACAAAAATATATTTATTTTGAGGTAAAAACTTTATTTTTTTTAAATCAATCATGAAATCGTTATGTTAAGTTAGTACATATCTATATTATTACTATGTTGGATAAGCTGCTATTATTAACCATAATAGTATAGTGATTTTTTTATATAAAACATCATTATTTTTACTCATTTATATAATAATAATATATTGTACCTACATCATTTAACATCTGTAACTTTCTTAATGAGAAGAAAAATGTCTATATTATATTCTGAATTAATATTTCAGATAAGTTATTCGTCAAGAATACCAATTTTAAGAACAATTATAATTTTTATACCGGTAATTGTTTTAATAGAAAAGTATGGTTTATGGGCAATAAAAAAAAATACTATTTATAAAACATGCTTTATTCATATTTTGGAATATTTAAAAAATAGGAATAGATAATTATGAATAAGTTTATATTATAATATTATGCAAATAATAAATATGTTATAAAAACCTTTAAATCTGGCTATTTTAATATTAAATCATAAATTGTGTAATTGGTTTGAGAAATAGTGAATTCTGGATTTACATAATATTACGTGCCATCATAATGGATGTCAAATTTCAATACGAAGCAACATTTTCTTAACTATAGTTTGATTGATAATTCCTTAGTAAGTTAACAAGCATCAAGAGGTAAATTCCAAGTTTTCAGTTAATTTAAAGTCGAATGTATGTTATTTATAATTTATTCACAATAATATTTAATTATAAAATCTGTTGTTTGTATGAAATAATTTCATAAAAATTAAAAAAAAAAAAATGTGTACTTCTATTGAGAAATTATACGAGATGACAGAATAAAATAAACTTCATATAATTTTTTTCTTATATTTTCAAATGGTGATAAAAATAAATTAATTTTAAAGATTTTATATTTATTGACCAACAAACTTTGTGGATTAGATAGTTAAAAATTAACTGTCAAAAGATTCAAAATCTTTATCCATTTTAAGGAATTAAATAAAATATATTATCTAAAAACATCAAAATAAATGGTATAAAGCTTTCATTTCAAATTCTAATCAAATATTATTATTGTCACAGTATTGTTATAAAACTCCAATCTTATACTTATTCAAATGAAAGATAAGTACTAATTTAATTTAAGCAACTAGCGAGTTAATGAGATATTTCTCTAACAATTTACAAATGTCATCATAGTAATGTTTATACTAAATAATAAATATAATGAAGCATGATATACCTCTATGACAGGAAATGTTATACAACAAATAATATATTACTGATTTGTGTTGTTTTTATGACAATATTAATGAGTTATGATTTATTTGGGATGGTCTCTGAATTTTGAAAATTCCTTTATTTATCATTTAAACTTATCACTCAAACGACATACCATGATGGTGCCCAATTAACGAAATTGCCAAAAAAATTACATCAAAGTACCTATTTAGGTTCAAAATGTTGTGAYGATCCACTAAATTTTATTTCAGATACGCTGAAAGCTGAAAAATTAATTTTAAATATTTAAAAACGTACAATATTTATACAAAATATGTAAAAGTTTTGAATAAATTAGTGTTTTATCAAGACGAYGGAAATAGGTAACGTATTTTTAGAAATAGACATTGTGTTCAATATTCTTATTAATATCTAATAATATTCATAAAAACTTAGATTTAAAAAATTTTAGGTATTACATAATGTATATTTTATCGTGGACATTAATTCAAATAATTCAGTGTAATTTAAAAATTTATATATATGAATTGGTTAAAATACGTAGCTTGACCTTAAAATAATTAAAGGATAAACATTTTTATATTTGAAATTAATACCTATATAAACATTTAGTGAAAATTTCAAGTATCTGCGGTCATTTGTTTTAGAGTTACAYMAAAATAAGAAAATCGCTAAATGTGAAATCCAGTGAAAATCCAATGTTGTAAACATTTAAATTTCAAACGCTCATAAAAATTTAAATTGAATTTCTGGAGGACATTTTTTTTGTGATAAAGATTGAAAAACTTGTAAGGAATCTTGTATTAAACTTTCAAATCTT